AGGGAGATTGGCACAAGGGGTAATAATGGATCTGTCAGATTCTTTCCTATAAGTTCCCTCCCTCCTCTCTTATCTGCCAGAATATCTCTTCAGATCCTGGTGAGATTCAAGATAGGAATTTGCACTCACATGGATCTTAAAATAGAAAATGACAGATTTTCTCATTAGGTGCATTCTCAGATATAAACCTTGGATTAATCTTTGGATCAACCATTGGATTAATACAGACTTCCCTACAGATAGGATAGAAGACAGAGACATTTTCACCATAACAACAGAGTCATGATGTTTTTCCTTCTGATGTTCCTTGTACACAAAGTCATCACAGTGAAGTGCCCTGAAGGAGAAACCTTCCCTGTCCCACATGAGTGGTACCAGCCTGGTGACCTCATCATTGGTGGGATGGTGTCTCACATTTTTTACCACTTTTATGAAATTCAATTTCAGGAACATCCTTCTCTAAAACCTTTTGACTTACCACTGTAAGGATTTTTTCTTTTTCTTTTTCTGGTTCCTATGCATTTCCTAATGTTAGCCAAATACCAAATAATTTCTTATATGAGGAAAAGCTCTTGGAGTGCAAATGCAGGGCTTTGTATATAACCTAAGCTGTCTTTATATTTAAAGGGTATCTAATCATGAGAAAAGAAATAATTTTCTTTAGGTTAAAGTCTTTCTCCACAAATGCATAAAACTTTGCTGCAGTAAGTCCTTTGAATAATATTTAGTAAAATTAAAGTAATTAAAAAAGTTCTGCATTATCACTTCTCACAAAACAAATACACGGTAAATGAATAATACCTTCTGAATTGATAGAAAATAAATGTGGTAGCTTGAAAAAAAGTTACTAATTTTGGTGTAATACGTATTTTTTGCAAATCATACAAATCCTGTGTAAAATATATATATTTGAACTCTATACAAATGACTGTATTTTAGGAAAGCTATCATCTTCCTACTTCGATCTGACACAGAAATGTTTGTTGTTCATATAGAAATGATGCCACATTACAAGAATTGTAAAATTACTTTTTCAATGGGTGTATTTAAACTATTTGCAGTATAATAACCAAATTCTATCAGGATGTCCTTGCTTTGGCCTTTGCTGTGACAGAGATCAATGAGGACTCCCAGATCTTGCCTAACATCACTCTGGGGTTCCATATCTATGACAGTTACTACAATCCAAGGTTGACCTATCGCACCACTCTGGACCTGCTTTTCAAATCCAAAGAATTTGTCCTGAACTACAAATGTGATCGCCAGAAAAATCTCATGGCCATCATTGGAGCACTTTTGTCTGATACTTCATCCTACATGGCAGAAAGTATAAATGTCTACAAGATTCCACAGGTAGTTTGGGCAGAGGGGTAATAGAGAAACTTTGACTTATTTTGTAGTTAATTTTTAGAGATTAGTTTTTTGCCATGGCATTCTGCAGGACTTCAATTACATCTAATTTGCTCTCCCTTCTGCATTTTTTTCCCACAACTCAGTAAGTCGCCTCAAGGTAATCCAAGCCAAATAATCAAAATCTTTTATTATGGTCAAAGGTCAGAAAATTAAAATGTAAATAGTAAATTACAGCACAAAAAATTAAACTTATTTGGGAGCATCACCTGACATTGTGTTTTGATTGCCAGCCAGCAATTGGTGGAAACTCTCCTTGCTATGTCTTGATTGGTGTCTGAACATAATAGTTTAGTATAAATCTCAATGGTTTTGCCTGGGAATTGTTTGAGGATTGGTGCTATGTGGTTCTTTTGGAGATCTCTATAATAATTGCAGTAAAAGAGGACCTGCTTGACTGTTTCTATTTCTCCAGATTCTCATGGAGATGGTTTTTCATGGATAGGTTTTTTATTATATCTGCCATAGAGAAGGGCAGAAAATAATCCAATATATCTAGCTCTGAAATATTCTTTTCTCAAGCTGGGAAGACTTCAAATGTTCAGACAGTTAGCAGCTTCCAGGTGTTCATGGTGATGAGCATTTTGGAACTGTACCTAAGGAAGCTACTTTTGGTTTCTAATACAGATATATTCCACAGGTAAGAAAGTATTTTACGTTCAGGTTTTAGTTGCTTCTCTTTTTCATCAGAACTGCCATGGTGTACGCAGAGTTTCAGAAATTTTCAATGCAAGGACACCTTCATTCATTTTCCAAACAGCAGTCCTTTTCCCATACTGTTTCACTTGATTCTCATGAACGACCACACTTTTTTTTTTTTTTTAGTTGACCTATGGCTCTTTTTCCCAAGAAGAGTTTCAGACTACAAAGTTATCTTCATTTTACTGCATGGTCCCAAATGAGGACCATCAGTACATTGGAGTAATACAACTTCTTCTCTGTTTTGGATGGACATGGATTGGAGTCTTTGCTTCTGATAATAATAAGGGAGAACATTTCTTGCATAAAATGCAGCCATTGCTTTCCCAGAAGGGCATCTGTTTGGCTTTCACACAAAATATTCCACAACTAGCCCACTTGGAAGACTTGTCAGAATTCTTTGATGTAATCTCAATTATTTCTGAAAACTTGATAGATCCTAAAGCAAATGCTTTTCTTGTCTATGGAGAATCACTCACAATTATGTGGCTCAGAATGGTTGTATTTCTACGTGATCATGAAAATAAAGAGAGTGCATCATTCAGAAAGGTTTGGATCCTGATGAACCCGATTGATTTCATACTGACAGGTCTTCAAAGGGGTTGGGATCTCCAGATGTTCCATGGGGCTCTTTCCTTTACCATTCATTCAAGAGAAGTTCAAGGGTTCAAAGAATTTCTTCAAGTCATCAAACCTTCAATGCACAAAGATGGATTTCTTCAAGATGTTTGGGAACAACTGTTTGACTGTTCATTTTCAAACACAGAATCAGCCTCAATGATCAGTGAAACCTGCAATGGAGAAGAGAATTTGGAGAATCTGCCTGGGCCTCTCTTTGAGTTGCAGATGACTGGCCACAGCTACAGTATTTACAATGCTGTTTATGCAGTGGTACATTCTTTGCAGGAGATAGTGAGATCAAGATCCAAACAGAGAAAAATTCCAGTATTTGAATTTCCAGATCTGGAGCCTTGGCAGGTAATCACTCCATGCCATTCCTATCATTTCTTTCAGTGAATAGTCATTTTCATCCACACCTTAATAGGGTTTGTTTGTCCTGGCCTATGGCCACATTTCAACATGGATGCTGAGGCAAAAAAATGAGCATTGCAAGTGGTCAATCTATGTTATAAAACAAAAGAGGATGAAAATGAACTGTACCTTTGCAAATCTTAGTCCAGTCAATGAGATTTTTGTATCACCCTTGGTTCCATAAATAACTCTTTAATCTCCACATAGAATTGCTCTATCTTGTAAATTCACCAGCTTGGTTCCACGAAGAATTCAAAGGTGAAGTGTCTGAATGCAGTCTTTCTTTGCTTTGTGCCCAACAGGCTTTTGTAAAATGTGGGGATTTCACTTTTCTTATTAGCTTTTTGAAATTTAGTGAAGACAGGGTTGTTAGACTGGGGATTTAGTGTTGATGTCAATTATTCTTGTGTAGTATAGGTATATTTTTTTCATGAAGTGATGCTGGTTTGTATACTTATGATAATCTACCTACAGAATTGCTGAGCTTCTGCTTTAATGTATTTGTCATAATTAATAAGGTAAATGTGAGGTTCATACCTCAGTTATTGATAGTTCTTTGTGGGTTGACATTTTCCTCTTCCATATTTCAAGCCAAGAAATATTCTTTGGTTTCCGAGGATATAGGAGTAAACAGAAGGGAAACTCATACTTTGACCCCTGATGCATTGTTTTCTTTTTGATTCCCTCCTTCTTATCCTTCATCAAGTAGCTCCATAAGTTTCTTCAAGGGGTTTCTTTTAACAACTCAGCAGGAGAAGGAGTCTTCTTTAAAGACAACAGAGAAGGTCCAGGTGGCTTTGACATCCTCAATATGATCACTTTTCCAAACAGATCCTTTCAGAGAGTAAAAGTTGGAAAGTTAGACCCCAATGCTCCAAAAGGAAAAGAACTCATCATTGAGGAGAAAGGAATCCTTTGGCACCC